GACGTGTGCCGCCTGTCAGCGTGCGCGGGGCCACCCCCAGGCCCGGAGGGAAAGCCCAGCCCGCCCGCGGCGCCCTCTTATGCAGAGCTGTCCAAAAGGGCAGGGGTGCGCCAGGGCAGGGGGCGGTGGGCCGGGGAGGGGGCGCCTGGTTGCGAGGTGGCTCCGGTTCCGCGCAGCCGACTGGCACGAGCGCGGTGGGGCGGGTGATTCATGCATCACGATGCCGCCGCCGCTGCGAGGTTGGCCTGTCTCCCCCTCCCTGGCCCTGATCGTGTGTGGGGGGTGGCGAGCGAGACTTGTCAGAGAGCTCGTGGCAGCGGTGGCGGCGAAGGGTCCTGGGCGCATCCTGTTGCCTGCAGGATTTACAGGCTGAATTCTCCTGGCTCTGATTTCACCTCCCCAGGTCTCTGTTTGTCTGCCGGACTGGAGAATGGGTTTCTACAGCCCTGGGTCATCTGGTGGATCTCATTATTTAACCGTCCGGGGCACCCCTGAGAGGAGGGTCTGTCAATTTCAGATCTCCCCAGATCTGTCTCCACTTGCCCAACTTCACAACTCTCCAGTCTCCTCACATCTTCAGTTTCTCCATACCAGGCTTCTCCCTTCCCTGAAAGCCTCTTGGGAGATGCCCCAGCATGCCAGGGGTTAATGGCACCGGGGGTCCTGACCACACAGCCTTTCTTTTGGGGGATGGGGAGAAGGACTGCCAGTGGTCTGCAAGGGCTTCTGCCTGGGTATCTGACTTGGAAGGAAGCAGGGGCTGTGTTGGGATTCAGAACCTGTACTTGGGCAGCTATGTGGGTCCAGGCGCTCTGCACCCTCCCTGGAGGTGATGGATTGACCGCCAGCCCCAAGCGTTGATGGAGGCTTGGGAGGCAGCTTCTGGTGGTGCATTGCACAACCTCTGCTCCCCCCTTCCCCTCCGCTCCATTGGTCTTCCGGGCACGTTTGCAGGTCTGTCCAAACCCACACTTCGGCTCTGTGCCCCTCACCCCCATGTGCTTGGAACGAAGGGGGCCCTCCTGAGTGGGTGCTAGTCTGCTGAGAGGTACTGGCCCTTCTCCAGTGGAATTCTGCAGCAGGGCGCTCACATTCCAGTAGCTGCTTCTCAAAGGGGTAAGGCTCTGAGGACCAGAGACTCTGTCCTTGCTGCCCTTACCCTTTCTCCGAGGTGGGCGGGCAGCCCTTCCCGCTGCTGTTTTGTGCAATTTGCTGGGCCTCCTTTGGGTTCCCATAGCTGTCAGCAGGCAGGCTGCACACTGGACTTCCCGGGCCCCTGTGCTTGGGGAGGCAGGGGACACAGTGGGTTTCAAAAGGAGGGGTGTCTCCATTGTGGGGATGCGGGGAGCTACCTGTGAGCTGAGCGGAGCCAGGTCTCCTGCTTCCAGAGACGTCGCACGCCGAGCTCCTCACATCACTGTCATATTCAGTCCTCACAGTGGTCCCACCACCTGAGATCCCCCATCTGTCATGGGGCGGTGCCAGGACTCGAACTCAGGTCTGTCTGGCTACAAAATTATGCCGCTTGCAAGACCTCAGAGATCACGCTGAGAAGTCCAGAGGGGCTTTTCTCCTGTGTGTCCCTTTCTGATTTCTGCTCTAAGCCTGTGAAGCTGGACTTTGGGTGTGAATGCGCTCGGGGGTCATTTTGTCCATTCCTCTCTCTCCAGGCAGATCTATCAACTTTGGGAGAAGTTGAGTCAACAAAGCCTTGTTAGGAGCCAGCCCCGTGGGGCTGGGCTGGGCTGGGCTATTTTTAAAGTCCTTTGGACACGTGGAACAGTCTCGATGAGGGAGACATCTGGGTACTTCTCTGTAGAGCTCTTTCTGGGTTTGGGCTGATGGGGGTGGTGGTGAGTTCACAGACCTCCTGTCTGTCTCCCTTGCTGATGTCAGCGCCCTCAGGGCAGGTGTTTGTCTGGTTGTGCTGGCACTTAGTAGGTCTGCAAGTATCTGTTGAATGAAAAGTCTCCCAGCAGGAACAGGAGAGAAAACCTCCAGCCTGTTCTAAGGCCCCAGATGGGCCTCCTTGTGACGGGGAGTAGAACCATCTGCTCTTTGTTTAAGGGATTCTGTGTGTTGTCTGGGGTCAAGAGAGGAGCGCTTAGGGAGGACTCTCAGATGTCAGAATCTCCTGGAGAGCCAGTTAAATATCACCTGCCTGAGTCTGGTTGCCCTCCCGGGCTTCCCACTCTTAGAGTCTGGGCGGGGCCCAGGAATTTGTATCTTGATGAGTGTTTGTCAAGCAGATCTTGATTCCCAAGAGTCCCAGCTGAAGACCCACAGCTGGTTCTGGGGGTCCAGGAAGGTGTGAACTTCTTCTGGTGTCCTAGGCACCTCAGGTGTCCCACAGCCAGCCACAACGCCAAGTGGGGCTCAGGGGGGAGCCCCAGATGTTCACACCGGAGTCAGTGCTGGCTCCCATCCCTGGTGGTGATTCTCCTGCTCTCGGGAGAAGACCATCTTGGTGGTCTGTGTGTGTGCGTGAGGAAGCGGGAGGAGGTCTCGAAGTTCCAGCTGGGTGACTCTCCCTGGACACATCTGGATTCAGCTTGGCTAAAACCCTCCATCATTCAGGCTTAACACTGCAGAGCAGATTTTTTTCCTCCTTGCAGATAAGATTTTGTAAGTCGTCAGTGCCCCGTAACCCAATCCTCACCCTTCCTGGCACAGTTCACATCCAAGAGCAGCAAGAGGTTTGTGAGAGATGGAGGCTTTGCTCAGCTAGGAATCAGACAGCAGTGCTCAGTGTGACCAGCAGCCTGGTTCCTGTTGGGTCTGGCCCACTTTTTTCCCAGCTTGTTGATAAGGGTATTGTCATCCCTTGTGCCCCGGCAATGGGACGAGCGAGCCCTTCACCTAACTGAACCTCAGCTTCCTCATCTGCAAAATGGGTGTGCTCGCAGTACCTGACTCTGGGGGCATGTGAAGAGGCAACAAGATGATTCGCATATGGTATAAGATGAGGTTGAGGGGAAGGTGTAGCTCAGTGGTAGACTGCTTGCCTAGTATGCACGATGTCCTGGGTTCAATCCCCAATACCGCCATCAAAAACTAAATAAATAAATAAACCTAATTACCTCTTCCCGCCGAAGAAAAAAAAAAGATTGGCCATAGATCTAAAAATCTTCAAAACATACAGAATAAGATGAGGTGATTGGTAAGGGGTCCTTAATACGTGACACACACTTGTCAGGGATGCAGGGATGCATGTTAGCGATCGTTGTTAACATTGTTTGGACCGCACAGTTTGGCTCCATCTTGAACAGGTCGTAAATCTGTCTTGCGGGTGAAGTTCATCTCTCCACAGAGGAACCTTCCTACTGCCCTGGTCTTTGTGCCTGGTGCACAGGAGGCTAGAAATGGGGGACCTTTGGATTGTCTGAATCTTAGCAGATTCTGATTTCACATGCTGTAGTCTTCCCCCGTCCCCACTTGTTAACTTTGAGGCTGCCCTGACCTGCTGTTCATTGAATGCTCATTCTGTGCTGAGCACAGAGATGCAGATGTGAACCAGAGAGATGTAATTCCTGCCCTCAAGTGGAAACCAGCCAGGTCGTTCGAAAAACCGAGCCTGTGGGGCTCAAGCCATTTGTCGTGGTCTGAACTGTAACCGTTTAAAGGCTTCTGGGCCAAAGCCAGGCAGCCCCAAGAGGCAGAACCCTCCACCCTCCCTCCCTCCCTCCCTGTTCTCTCCCCATGGTGTTCATGGCTTCCCCCTCGGACCCTACGTCGAGGACTCAGAGGAGGTCGCTTCTTCCCTGTCTCTCTTGGTCAGCCCAGGCTCTGCCTTGACCTTGCTGGCCAACCTTCAGTCTCTGGCCTTTTCCCCTGATGCCCGGAATGGTGGAGGGAGGAGCATCTGGATGGGAGGTCGGGGTAACCAGTAGCTAAGGCCTCTGCGACCCAGAGCAGAGAGGGGGGACCTCTGCTTGGGGTCCGGAGTCTGGTTGAGAGATGCTGGATATCTCCAGTCTCTCTGGCTTTGGGAAGGGTCCCACGAGGGTCCCTTCCTATAGGATAAGGAATAGTCTCTGATTGTCCCTTCCCCCACCCAACTCTGCTTGACCAGATGGGGCAAGACATTGCCTTGGGGGGAGGCAGTATCTGGCACCCATCTTAAGATAAATGAGAGGTTTGGAGTGTGAAGGGCCCACAACCAGACGAGGAATAAGCCACTCAGGAGGGGGAAGGCTCTGAGGGAGGGAGGTGGTTTCCGCAATCCCTGTGTAGCCTGTGTGCATGTGGGTAAGACCGAGGGGGCCCACGCCCTGACTCCACTGAATGCTAAACAGAGCAGCAGCAAGAGGAATCGAGGTTAGACTCTTAAAGTGAGTTTGGGCATCGGGGCAAGAAACATCAAGTCTGTTGCACTTAATATCCTGGAGAATGGGGCTGGGTCCTCACTCTGAGCTCTGTGATCTTGGGCGAGTCACTGACCCTCTCTGTGCACCAGTTTGTTCATCTGCAGTTGCTGCCCATGTGACTCTGAGGACCAAAAGGGGAGAGTGCTTTGAGGTCCAGAGCGTGGACTAGAAGGGGAATGGGGCTATTCAACCACAGAATCTCAGGGAGTGAAACTGACCTTGGGAGCCAGATGTGCTGGGGTTCTGGCCCTTTCCTTGGGCAAGCCCCATCTCATTGAGCCCTACTTTCCTCCTCTGGGAAATGGGCATCTCAGGGGCCCCAGAGATGGAAGGATTCAGTGCACTTGAAGAGTTTTGCATGGTGCCTGGTTCTCAGGGGACTCTTGAAACGTCTCCTGGTGGCAGCTGGTCCTTGGAGGCAAGTCCTCTGTCCTCTAGGGCAGGACGGGACCTGTGGTTTAGGGCCCACCCCTTGTTGAGAGAAGCAGAGGCTGGAGAGGAGCAGGGACCCCCCGGATCCCAGAGCCCAGGCCTCCTTCTCGCACCTGTTCCAGCTCTTTCTGCCTCCCCCAGCTCCATCCGTCCCCACCCCCACCCCAGAGAGTTCTGGCATCTCACATCTCAGAGTGTCAGGTGAGAGCACTTTCTCCTGGCTGTGGCCTTGGGATTGGACCCAGCTTCCTCTGCTCCCAAAGCTAGGCCCGAGCCCCTCTGGGGCAGGTCACAGCAGTGAGCAATGCAGCTGACTGGTAGGCCGGGCTCACTCCATCCCTCACCAAGGGCCCCAAAGGCCGTGGGAAGGGATTTGGACATTTTCCGAGATGGGCAGGGAGTCCATGCATGGAGGTGGCAGAGGTACGTTAGATTTGGGTTTGGGTAGCATTCTAGCCTGTAGACCAAGAACAGATTGGAGGAGGGGCTTGTAACTGAGGCTGAGTGATCGCGGTGATGAACTGAGGGCACTGGTGGGGATGATGTCATAGACAGGGCCTGGATATATTTAGGAGGAAGACTCTATAGGACGTGGTGCAGAGATTTCATTACCTTGTAAGTTTGGGATTGTATACTTTTTAACTTTTAAAAATCTGACAGTTGTAATGTTTGCCCACGTCATTAACTATTCTTCTAAAACATGGTTTTTTAAAATGATGCGTCACATAAATGCAGCGTATTTTATTTAATCCCCTGCCCTTGGACAGTTAGGTTGCTTTTTTCTCTTCAGTATAAACAGTGCTGTGACAAACATCTTTGTACTAAATTTTGGCATGAGCATCTTTGTAGTAAATCTTTACACGTATCTCTTCTCGAAAATAAATTTCCCCAAATGAATTTGTGGCGTTAAAAGACTGGTGACATCTTAAAAGGCTTTTGATTGAAAAATTGTTAAATGGCTCTCCACAAAGTACATTCTCATTTATATTTTCAGCAAAAGTGGATTAGAGAGTGCCTATTTCCCTGCATCCTTGCCAGCACTAAGTATTATTGTTTTTCTTAATATTTGCCAACTTGATGAGGAAGAAAATGGTAGCTCACGGTTTCAATATTCATTTCTTTGATTACAGTGAAATAGAATCCTGGAATCTTTGAGCTAGAGGACACTTTGGGGTTGTGTAGTCCAATGCCCTCGTATTACTAATGGGCCAGTTGAGGACCCGAGAGGGGAAGTATCTCTCCCAAGGTCAGGTGGCAAATACATGGGGCAGGAACCTAGGACTGCTGACTCCTGTAGGGTACCTCCCACTGTGCCGTGATGAGCTGGCCGTTGGGATGGAGATGGAGATGCCTTGCTTTCTTCACTGAAGTTGATAAGGTTCATCTTGTCCTAAAAGTCTCCTGCTCTCAGGTAAGGAAGAAACCTGGATAAATTAACAAGAGATTCCTTCTTACTGTCATTATGAGATGAAACCCTTAGCACATCCTGGGTGTGGTCTCTCTACTAGGGCAGAGATCATCATAAATTAACACGCCAAGTTTCCAGGTAACATGAGATGGGAGTCAGATTCCGCGTCGAGGGCGGGACAGCATAGGGATGAGGGCTCAAGGGCTAGCTTGCTCCTTCTAGCCGTGGGACCCAGGTGAGCCCTGACACACACCCTGAGCTCTGGGTGCCTGGTATGTGCCCGTTGGCAGGCACAGCGACTGACACGTAACAAGTGCTCAGTAAGTACCTTCACGGGTAGGAGGCTGCTTGGCCGTCAGAGTCAGGGGACAGTGGTTCATGGCCACCTCCCTGCCCCGCAGGTCACAGGGCGAGCTGTCACGGACCCTTGGCTGCATGGGGAGTGAGTGGCAAATGTAGACGGCCTCTGTGGTTGGTGGCTGCATCCTTCTGCACTGGGGGTTGATGAGGGAGGGCCGGCTCTGGAATGCGGGGTTTTGGGATCCTGCGTGGATGTGGGCTTGGGGGATTGGACACACACCTGCCTGGGGTTCTGTCCCAGAACCGTCACAACCTGGGCAGGGACCTCAGAGTCATATGTCCCCTCTGGGGCTCCATTGCTCTTTCTGTGCAGAGTTACCAGATGGTGAGACTTCTGTGGGGAAGCTACTGCTGGGCCCCGGGTACAGCCTGCTCAGGCTCTGGGGCTGGGTGACTTGGGCCCTCAGGCTGTCTCAGCCACAGACATGGTCCTTAATCTCTCGATGCCTCAGTTTTTCTGTCTGTGAGTTGGGGATAATCATACCCTCATAACACAGGGCTGTTGTGTGTGAGGTTAGAACCAGTAGAGACTGAATTTGATGGCTCTAGTGCTCCTCCTGGCTCATCAGTGGTGATGGAGAACCCGTACCCAGCAGCGCGTAGGGAGCAGAGGCTGTTGCCGTGGCCGACGTTCGTGTGATGCAGGCCCAGCTCTGTGAGCCCGTGTTCGTCACTGACTCCCCCCAGGAGCCCGGCGTGGTCCCTGCTTTTCAGATGAGGAAATGGAGGTTCAGAGAGGACCAGAGCTGGCCCAGGGCCACACATCTGGTGAGTGGTGCAGTGGAGTTTGACCCTGGGCCATGGGGAGGGCCCCGTGCGGGTCGGGGTGGGGGGGCCCTGAGAAGCTGTGGTGGAGGGGCGCGGGTGAGCGGGAGCGAGCGTGGGTGCCGGGTGTGGGTGCACAGCCCTGGCTCACGTGGGCATGCTCCGGGGGTGGGTGACGGGGTCGCGGTTTGTGTCAGGAGTGAGTGAGCCGGCACGTTGCTGTGTGTGAGGGCAGGTCTGTGCAGATTGTAATGCAGGTGTGCTGGGGGGCACTCGGGGTGGGGGAGGCCCGGACAGGCTGAGACCCGAATCAGAGGCTGGCTGCTCGGCTGGCTGCTCACCTGCTTGCCCTGAGCAGGACCAGGTGACATGGCTGCCACAGCTCAGTCCCCTTCTGCCCTGGCCACGGTGGTCTCCAGGAGCCCCTCTGCCCTCAAGCATGGAAAAATATCACTGGGAGGAGTGACAGTAATGATGACTCCCGTTTACCAAGTGGATACTTGGTGCCAGGAGTGCTGAGCACAGATTTTCCCTTCTTGTGTTCTCACCACACCCCTGGGAGTTGGGACTATTATGCCCAGTTTACAGATGCAGAAAGGGAGGCCCAGGCAGGTTCAGGGTCACACCTCAGGCCTCCCAGCTGGTCAGTGGCCAAGCTGGGGCTCAGGCTCAGGTCTTTGTCTTGCCAAAGCCATTCCCTTCCCGCAGTGCGCCCACCTCCCACCATCTCTGTGAGCCTTGTCACCTTAGAGCTGCTGCTGAGGGTGGTGAGTACCTCATCACTGGAGGCATTCACGCAGCTGCTGGCGTATCAGATGCTGCCAGGTGTCCTGGATTCCTGGGCCAGATGTGAGGCTGGACTGTGGGCGGGTAGGATCCTTCTAGCCGGGGAAGGAACAGCGCTGCTGGTTCCGGATATTCTGATTCCTGCAGGGGACTTGGGGAAGCCTCCCTTGGTTTCCTCTGGGGTAGAGGCAGAGTTGAGGCCTGCAGCAGGTGGCAGAAGGGCTGTGAGAAGCCAGGAGCATTGTGGGAGCGTGCAGCGGGTGAGGTGTGCCCAGGCCTCGGAGGCTTTCTCAGCCTGAGCCTTGGGTGCTGACTGTGTGCGGATGCTGTGCTGACCTCACGGAACCCTCCCAACCTGTAAGCTCCGGGACGGTGTGTCCCATTGTACGGTGATCTCCGGCTGGGGCTGGGAAGCAGGGGCGGCCTGAGGATGCGGTCATGGAGGCCCAGAGCCCCCACCATCCTGTGCTACCCATGCGTGGCGTGGCCCAGGTGCTTCAGCAAGTGTCTGTTGGATGAAGGAAGAGATGAGTCCTTGCAGTTGCCATGCGGGCTCAGAGGCACAGTGACAGAGGGGACCTTGGGGGGTCTGGTAGCAGTGCCCTGGGCTACTGTAAGCCCTTGAGGGCTGGACCCATCTGGTGGATTTGGGCTTCAGTTCCGTGCCCGGCCCAGAGCTGTGCATGGTGCAGGCCCCTGAGTGCCCCTGGGTAAGGCTGAGGGTTTTCCTAAGTGCTGTCCACATGTTGCTTTGTTTCACTTCTCCACTGACTGGAGTGGGACCCACTTGTGCCCCTGACCTGCAATCTGATGGTTTTGCCAGGGAGTCAGAGTCTGGGGTCCTGTTTCCAGCTCCCCTTGCTGTGGCCTTTGGCTGCCCTGCTCAGGCTCTCCGTTTCCCCATCCGTCCCCCTCTCTGTGAGATGGGATGTCACCTTTCCTCAGCCCCAGGGAACCCTGATGGTGCCACCTGGGAGGCGGTGCTCCCCACCGAGGGTGCACTCCTGGTCTCAGGAGGTGGCCCGGGGAAGCTGGCGGGGCATCCAGGCCACTGTGCTCTGGATTCCCTGGCAGGGGAGGAGGAGGAGGAGGGCAGAGGAATGTGGCTTTAAGGAATGTTTAACTCAAGGCAGAAATAGCACTCTGCTTTTTTTTTAATTTCAGGCTTGGGTTTTCAGCTGGGAAGTGGGTTCAGAGTCCCATTCTCTGTGTCCCCAGCCTCCCCTGGCTCCCCCACCGCGCTGGCCTTTTGGGGACAGGAAGTGGCCTCCTTTTTTTTTTTTTTTAAAGGAAAACCGAGAAGCTGCTGTGGGAACCAGACTCTGGATTTGGAGGCAGACGGAGCTGGGTTCAGATCCCCTGTTCTCCACTACTGGCCTGGTGATCGCTTCCTACTCCAAACCGCTGCCTTCTCTTATATGAAGTCAGGGCAGGGGGCCGGGAGCTGAGATGGCTTGTCGGTAGTGTCAGGACTTCCTTCTCGGGGAGCGACCTGGCCTGGGTACTACTCTCAGCTCCTCTCATCAGCTCTGGGATCTCATCCAAGCCCTTTCCTAGGAGCCTCCTTACTTCATCTGTGAAATGGGCAGATGATGATAACCCTGCCTCCCAGGATTGTGGATGGAGTGAGTGTGAAAATATTGGCAAAAGGGCTTGGCACATCCTGGGCTCCTGAATCCCTCCTCTGAGTCTCGGTGGCCTCACAGGGAAAATGGGAACGTGCCTCCTGCGAGCTTGCGCCAGGTAGCGGGAGGGGCCGCACCCAGGTGAGGGGCAGCTGAGACAGCTTTCCATCTGGCCCTTCCGTTTGCCTGGTCCCTCTGATCCTGGGCAGGACCCACTCTCACCCACACCCAGCTTGTGCCATCCCTGCTGTCCCCTTCCACAGAGGTGCCCTGGGCCCAGCCAGTGCCCTCCCCAGACCTGGTGGTGAGGACATGAGTGCAGCCTCCTGCCCATTCGACAGTGGGACAGCGCCTGGTCGCATGGTTCACCGCTGGGCCCGGTCCTAGGACAGAGCCGGGTGCACATCTGCTGGAATGAGTGAGAAAAATCCATAAACAAGCAGGCTAATCATGCCTGAGCGGTTTCCTCCCATCCACCCTGGGTCTTTGCTTTCTGTTTGTCTGGCCTCCTCCTACCTCCTGGCCTGGGTGAGGGTGGCTTGCCATGTCTTGGGGGGGGGGTCCTGAGAAGTCACTGGGAGGCTGGGCCCCAGCAGGTCAGGCCCAGTGAGGACCCCCAGCACCCCCTCACCTTCTGGGGCTGGGAAGATGAACAGGGGTCCAAGCAGCCAGCAGGGCCCCTCCTCCCAGGCCCCTCCTGCGCCTGTCTCTTTGTCGGAACCAAAAGATTCCCGTTTAAAGGCGGGCGATGGGGCTATTTTTGGCGCTGTGGGGGAAAAAGCGAATGCTTCCCTTCTGTTCAAAAATATATGGTGGATGTGCTGGGCAGGCGAGGAGCTCCACGGAGCTCAAAGCCCGTGCTGGCGGGGCTCCCGCCCCAGCCCCCGAGGCCCTGCCTCCCTCCATGGCTCCCAAGCCCACATGGCCATGTTGTGTCACTATTGTTTCCAGATCGCCTGTGACGAGGGCCTTGCTGGGCCTGAGAGGAACGGCATCTGAATTAAAACTAACAGTGGCCGTCAAAATAAAGCAGGGGGCCTGCTCGCTGTTCTCACCTTAATTTGTGTTCCCTCCACCTGGCTCCGTGGAGCTGGGGGTTGGTCATGAGAAACATTCTGGGAGCATCTTGGGGAAGGAGGCCCAGCTAGCTGTGGGAGGACGGCTGGAGGCCCTGGGTGCCCATGATGGCAAGTCTGGCCAAGGGCATCCTCGGACCACCTGGCCACCCTTCCCTTCCTGGTGCAGAAAGTATTGGTGGAAGAGCTGTCTCGCCCCAGGTCCTGTGGGTGCCGGGACACAGGGCAGATTGGGTGGATGGCTTTCTGGCCTTCTCAGCATTCATGGTTTGGTGAGGGAAGAAGACAGAGCATTGTGCAACACTGTGGGAGTCCACCAGGTCTGGCGTGCACCCGGGAGGGCTTCCTGGAGGAGGCAAGGGTAGGGTTACCAGACATACTAAACAATTATTTGCTGTTTATGTGAAATTGAATTTCACTGGGCAGCCTGTATTTTTATTTGCTAAATTTGTCAGCCCTACCTGAGGGGGACGTAGGAGTTGAGAAGGCATAGAGAGGTTTTGGGGGTGGTTTATGCGGGATGTTGACAGCATTTCAGACAGAAGGAATGGCATGTTCCGGGTTTGGAGGCATTAAGCTGTGGCAACTCTGAGGCCCTGGAAACCTGGAATAGTGGCAGGAGTGTCAACGCTGTGCGCGGTGAGCCAGATGCCTAGCAGGTTAGCCCTCCGGAGGGGCCGGCTTACCCGCAGGGTGGGGCCCCACCCGGAGGGCAGCACTGATGGGGCCAGCTTTGGGAAACAGGTGAGCCATGTGAGGACACTAGGGAGGATGCGGGCCCACCTTGGCTGAAGGAGGCACCAGCAGGTGTTGTGGTGGGGGTCACGGTCCAGCCTCTGGTGGCTTCTGGCCAGGGTGATAGGGGTGTGGCTGTGCCTCTCTGTGCCCCGTTACTGCTTGGAGTCCCAGTGCCAGGGATCCTCCTGCTGCCCAGGACCAGGGCAAGGACCATGATGGGTCACTTCTGTGCTTCCCCACAGAGGGTAGGTCGGGCCCGCCTCTGCCCTGGGCTCTTAAAGGGCCAGAGCTGGAGCCGGACCCTGCAGTGCCACTGGCCCAGGGCACCTGGGGCTCCAGCCTCTGCTTCACCCTCCTGGGCTGGATGCCCTAGGACTTGTGCCCCAGAACTCTCTGGGGCCCCTGCTGGAGTTGTTCTGCCCCATTGAGGCTCACGTGCAGGCCTTGGCAGTGTCTGCGGCTGGCTGGTTACACTCAGGAGGGGATTGGCCACGTCCTAGGCAGGAAGCAGAAGGGGGAGTGGTGGCAGTCGGGGTGGGACGGGGTCCTGATGACCCCACACTGCCTGGTTCCCACTCCACCCTGCTTATCAGTCTTAGGTCCTTGTCAGTGTGGCCGAGGTCTCCCTGGGGGGGACAAGGGGCTGCGCATCCTTCCCTGGGGCTCTCAGTGCCCTTCCCCCAGTCCCATTCTGAGGTTTTCTTGCTCTACTGGTTGTGATATTAAGGACTGATCTGGTTTATGCCTGAGCTGTGATGAAGACCAGCCCAGCCAGCATGTCCCACTCCCTCCCAGGGCTGGGGATGAAGCAAGGAAGTGGGGGCTCTGGGTTGAGGGGAGGCTGGTGCTACCCGCCCTGGGATGGGTGGGTGGGAGGAGTGTCCCCCTCCCCTCCCAGGTGCTCACCTTATTGGCCCTGGCCATCCTGCCTCATCTCTGGGTTCTGTGACAACTTTATTAATAACAGGAGCAATTGCTAACATTTTGGAGCCCTTGCTGTGCTGCTCTGTCTACCTGGACCACATGGCGCTTCCTGGGGCTGGCACTTTATTCCATAGAGATGTGGTTTCTGGTGGTCCCTGACCTCACCGTGCTCTGCATCGTGTCTGAACTTTGGACATCTGGATCCCCACGGCCCCCCTTGATGGGAAGCCCTTTCTCTTTGCCTGCTGAGGTCTGCTCGTCCTTTCTATGTCAGCTTAAGCATCCTGTCCCCAGGGAGCAGCCCCTGACCCCCTGCTTGGGTTGCATTCCTGCTTTACACTTTCCCTGCTTTACACTTACCCCATGATGAGAATCACAACAGATCATTAGACAGCTGTGTGGTTACGTGCGTGTAGGTCCATCTTGCCTACATCAGGGACTTGGAGGACAAGGACCAGTATCTGGGTCACTGCTGTGTTTCCTGAGCCCATATGAATGCTTAGAAATTAATTGTTGCATGAATGAAGGGGTGAAAAACTGTCATTTGTTCCTTCTAACTACCATGGAAGGAAGGTATTGTTACCACCACCACCACCCCCATTTTACAGATGAGGAAACTGAGGCTCAGTGACGTGAATTCAGTTCTCAAGGTCACAGAGGGACTAAAGAATGACTCAATTCAGAAAAAAAAACCCTTCCTGTTGACCAGGTGCCTCAATGCCTTCCACACAGCCTCTTACTTTGGCAAGTGCTTGGAAAATGTCTGTGAAATTGGGCTGAACTGAATCCCTGAGCGCTTGGCTCAGCTCGGCTCTGAAATGTTTGAGAGGTTCTTTGTCAGGGGTTCAGAGGAAATCCTGCATGCTAACCTTTCCCCAGGGTCTCAAAGGAAGCAGAAAATGTGGTTTACTTCTGTCAGGACCCACCTATCTTCTGGAAGGTTCAGAGTCTGGCAGTAGAGGTGGCTTGAACCAAGGAATAGTCAGAGTCTTCACCTTGGTGTGTGTGTGTGGGGGGGGCAGGGGCACACAGGTAGCCACCAGGGCAAGTTCATTTGTTAGCCAGCAAACTGACTTTTAGAAAATAGAAGTCGCCATGTCTACTTTCCAACTCACTCTCCTGAAACAAGCACGACACCTGCAATCTACAAGAACAAAAACACACCGAGCATCTACTGTGCAGCAGATGCTGTTCTATGGCTGTGATGTAGGCAGACACAGATCCCGCCCACAGAGCCCCCAGCCATTGCGGAAGGACAAAACTGGGAAATCCAGGCCGTCGCAAAGATGAGAACCAAACCATTCCCTGTGCTGCTGCTCTGAGGCCGTTCTTCTTAACATTTCCACCTGCTCCTTCCAGTCTTTATGTATGTAGCTATGGTAGGTTTTTATCATCTTCACTTTTCCGATAAGGTTCAGAGAGGTTTACTGACTTGTCCAGTGTCACACAGCTGGGATGTGGGAGAGCTGGGATTTGAACCTGTGTCAGTGTGCCTCCGTCTGGGTCACTCAGTTGAAGCAAGATGTTAAAAGATCAAGAGATTCTGAGGACCTTTGCTTCCCAGCCCCAGTGGTCCTATGCTGGGGAGTCAGAGAAATCAAAGTTTCGGTGCCTCTTTGAGGGGACCAGACACCGCCGCTCAGGAGTCAGGCAGGTAACTCTCAGAATGCATTTGTGTGATGTTTTAAACAATTCTAGACAAGCTCTGGAGTCATGCAGACCCTGATTTTGGTCCTGGCTCCACTGTGGACTGACTTTGGTCCTTGGGCAAGTGGCTTTACCTCTAGGATCCTCAGTTTCCTGACCTGTATGATGATGATGGTAATCAGAATCCTTGCCTCATAGCATCATTTGGGCACTGAGCGAGATTAAGTCATGCACAGTGCTTAGTCTCGGACACAGACAGTCACGCCTAGTAAATGGCAGCTCTTTCGTCTTGCTATTCCTGGAAGTCACAAGACAAATGACATCTTCCTTTTACTTAGAACTCTTTGGGGAAAGTTATTCAACTTACATTGAAATTAAAATCAATGTATTTTGCAACTTTATTTTTAAATAGTAAAACAGAGATCTATAAATGATGGAGCAGGATAGAAAATCTGCAGAAATATTTGAGCTAAAACACAAGATTTGAACTATACCTTGTTTCTGTGGCTGCCTGGGGCTCTGCCCCCAACTCCCAGGGGGCTCTGACCCTCTCCCCTCAGGGGCCGCCGGGGGAGAGCACCTTTGGGGAGCCCTTGGACTCCTCTACCACGTGGCCCTGCCCCAGGGACCAAGCACTTCCACCTATCTGTAAGCTGGCAAATACCCCATTTGCCAGATGAGAAAACTGAGGCTTGGAGTGGGAAATGAATCACAAAGTTTCAAACTTTATTTGGTAAATCTAAAAGTGAGAAGGGTCACAGCCTCCAAGAGAGAGATGGGGCACAGGGGCCTGGCTCTCCAGGGGAGGCACTGCCAATGGACTCTGATGGGCAGGAGCTGGATGCTCCAGGCTGGACCAAGCACCCCAATGCCTGGTCCACAGCAGGTGCTCACCAAGTGCTTGCTGTGGCCTGGGGGCGCTCTTTGGGCAGCCCCCTTTTTGGAAATGACCATCTCCAGGCTAAAGCCTTCTTGAGTTTAGGCTGCAGAGTCAGATGGACCTAAGCTCCCGCTTCCACTCCTCCATCACTGACCGTGTGACCTCCAATGGGTGCTTTTGCCTCTCTATGAAGCCTCAGTTTCTTCATCAGCGAAGTGGGCCCTTCTCAGCACAGGGTCTGGTGCAGCCTAAGAGCTCAGTCAGTGAAACTGTCTGGAGCTCAGGGGGGATCCTGAGGGGCCCAATGGGATACAGGGGAATTTGATTTGGGATTTGAGTGGCTCTGAGCAGCCTCTCACACCTGTGTTCCCT